ATACTAGCAGCCATGTCTGCAGGTAGATTTAAATCCTTTAAATGAGTATCAGTAGCATTTTACAGTATATCCGGACCCAGTACCACTGCGAGTTTGCGTATTTTAATTTCCACTTACTGGCTTTTGTTCAGAAAAAAACCTTTTCAGGAACTCATTCCCTTTCTTCAGCCAAGGACGCTTGTGTCTTAGCTTCTCCTCTGTAGTCAGAGATAATATACACTCACTAGAGACTCAGCAGAGATGTTTCTGCCTTTCTTCAGCCACTCGGGACCCGGAATCACACCACTGATCCAAGTTGATGTGTTTGTGTGGGTGTCAAAGGCTTGAGACTTGTATTGGCTCCTCTCCTGTAGTACATCCTGCATGCAAGTCACCTTCTGTTGGATTTTCCTCCAGTCCCGATAGCCTCATCCTCTGATTTGCAAGATTAGTTTGTGTGAAGCTTTCCAATAAATCATTCCTGGATGGGATCAGTATATATATAAAAGGCCTACCCACCCCGCCGCCCCCAGCCGCTGCACAACTGACGATCTTGTTTTTTTATCCAGTATTAAATTACAAGTGTCAGCTGTACAGTTGACTGTGAACCACAGTTCCTAAGTTAGGACTCTGAGAAACTCATAATTTGTCTACATTTAACTTGAGAGTCTCATTTCTCCGGGGGAAAAAAAAATACCCAGAACTAAATCCTTCAGTAATTCTAGATCATCTTGTGAAGAGAATTTACCCCGATGAGGGTCTTGAGTTGCCCACAACAAAGACAGCGTGGAGAATGGCTATGGTGTACCTTATCGGTCTTCCTGGGACAGCCACTCATTTTTGTTGCTTTTTAGAACATCCTTTTACCTTCCTTCTGACTGTTCCTGAAAGTACAACAGTTTTGGTCACTGATGTAAGGAGAGGGGTTCATAAAGGTGCACTGATTCCCTGGGGATGTACATGGTCTGCTCTCCATGCAAGGGAGCCTTGATTCTTTCCTTGCTCTTACTTTCATCACATTTAAGATGCTATTAATTGTAAGATACACATTTATTTTACATACAACTAACAAAGGGAAGAAACCCACTGACAGTGTTAAGATGATCGTAAGTTCAAAGATTGTAAATGGGATGAACAGTCACATTTTAGAGTGAACTACAGTAATGCCCATATCTGGTATGGTGGCCTTTGAGTTTATGGGTGACACTCGCATCCTCTGTTATCTTCTATCTGGACACTTTCGATAGCTGTCATCAGGCCACCAGTGTTCTCCTAGCAGACGTCACTGATCGCTGTCTGCACTCTTCTCTGTGAAACCCAGATCTGGCCTCAGACGCCTCCCCAGTGCTAAGTGGCCGTCACTCACCAGTCAGCTGGCATCACTGACTCGCCTGCCCAGATTGAGACTCTCAACCTTGGATGATTGAATCTGTTAACATTTAGATAACATTTTTTCTCAAGCCCCCTGCTGGTTGGATGATCCTCCCTTCTTCCTTCCCTTTTTCCTTTCTGCTACATTAAGTATGTGTTTCCATTTTAGGAGTTTCCCCAGCCCTTTTAACCCTCTGCCATTTCCCCCAACGCCATGCCTCATATGTTCTTCAATTCAAACGTGAGATAAGGGGGACTTGCCGAGCAGGTCCTGGTCTGCACGTCTCAGGAATGTGGTGCCTGCCTGGGTTGTGCATGATTTGGAGGGGAACGTAGGATCCATTTTGTCCTGCACGTGGAGCTTTTACGACTCTAGGAACGGGGTGACTCAAAGGGCAGCCAGAGCTTTGCACCCCTTCTACCTTTTTGGAAAATGGAAGAAACACTTCTTGTCACAGAACTGGAGTTCCAAACCCAAGGGCCTGCTGGGGACCTGGGAGGAAACACTGGGAGCAGCCTGGCTGGGAGGCAGGTGGGACGGGGCGGGTGAGCAGGCGAGCGCTCCCGGTCCATGCACAGGATGTGGTCACTGCTCTCCATCCGGCCAGTTCTTGTCCTGCAGGAATGGGGGGCCTGCTCTTTCCATATCTTTGATTTAGGTGGAAGGTGAGTTAGATAAGTAATACGACATTAATATAAACAGAAGGCAGTTTGCGGCCTGGGCCTTCCTTTGAGGGACCGTTAAGACATGTTACGGACAGAAGCTTGGTTGCCTCGGATACATGTTGACTTGGACACCAGCTCTGTGCTAATGAAGAGCCAACACATCTGAAAACAGGGTGAACCAGTAATTACCTCACCAACCTGCCCTTTCTCGGTCATGCCCGTGGTGCTGGGGCTGCAGGCCACGTGTCCTGAAGTGCAGAGAAGGGACTTCTTCCTTCCTTTTGACTTCCTGTTCTTAGCAGCAGCTCTTTTCCACCCTGACAGCAGAAGGTGGCACCAAATTTCTAGCTTTCGCCACTCAGAATGAACTGGGCCTCCCCCCACCCAATACCTCTGGGTCCTTGTAACCCCTACTTTCTTCTCCTTGTCCTCTGAGCCCAGGGGGTGGGAGCTGCCGACTGCAGTTTTTGTCTGCTTCATCCTCAGTGTGCACTTTGCCCTGGCAGTTCTCCGCTTCCTGCTTTAACCAGATTTCCTACGTTAAATTGTCTCTGTTTAAATGTCTAGTGAGGCTCCTCTTTTTCTGAATCAGTCCTGACTGACAGCTGGAGGCATTTGCAACCTACCAACCCCGCTGTGATGTCTGCTTACACGCATACTTACTGATTGGCGAGCCTGATTTTTTTTACCTTGTGGATGATTTGAGTGTCTCCCATCTACTTGACCTTGTTGGCTATGGTCTTGGTTTCCTGGGGCTGCTAGAACAAAGTCCCATAAACTGGGTGACTAAAGACAATAGGATTTATTCTCAGAGTTCTGGAGGATAGAAGTCCAAACTCAAGGTGTCCTCCTGGTGAAGGCGCTAGGAAAGACTTTTCCCGTCCTTCTTCCTGCCTAAGCTTGCACCTGTACCGCCCCCAGTGTCTGCCTCCTCCCTCACATGGCCCTGCGTGGATATCAGTCATGGGGTTTAGGACTCGCCCTACTTCAGTATGACCTCATCTTAACCAGTTATGTTTGCAAAGACCTTATTTCCAAGTAAGGTCACATTCTGAGATTTCAGGTGCAGCTGAATTTTGGGAGGACAGTATGCAACCCAGTAAAGTTACTTCGTGCTTTGGTAAACATGGTTCTAGCCATAGACATGAGTAAATATTAAACGTATACATTGTTCCTGTTACAACCCCGTGGTAAGTACGGTAGACTTTGGTTTCCTATGTCCTGACACTTGGGACAGGAGAGTAAAGGGGCGGAATCATGGGTTGGTGTCACTCTTTTCCAGTTTTAGGAAGGAAGGAAGTGGCATTTGAGCTGGGTTTTGAAACTTCACGGTGAGCTTGGAAGAGAAAGGCATTCCAGGCCGTGGAGAACCCGTGAGCCTCCCAGATCAGCCAAGGCCTGACAGGGATTAGGGCAGAGGGGGCAGTGAGCAGTCAGCCGTGTCGGCTGTGGCTGGTCTGGGGGCGCTGCACTGTGGGTCTCCCAGACTGCGAGAGGATGGAAGGTGGTAAGTCAGGGGTCCCAGTTACGGATGACCCAACGAGTCACAGCTGATTCGCGGGAAGCACGTTCAGAACAATAAGGCTGGTCATGTATTGTTGGATTGCATTTGAGTGAGATGCCCAGGCCGGGCAGATCTTAGAGAGGCAGAGTAGACTTGGGACGTACCAGGGGAGAGCCAGGGAGGTGGAGAACGACTACTTCCTGGGCGTGGAACTGTCCTCTGGTGTAAAGAGGTGTCCCTAGCTGGAGAAGGGTGATGACCGCACCACGTGGAGTATGCCAGGCTCGCTAGCAGGACGTTTTACGTTAAAAGTAAAAACGAAACAAGGTAGAAAGCGTGACTAGGCCCAGGTGCATGATGCTGCTTCTATGATGAGAGCTAAGTAGGGTGAGGGGAAGGGATGGCTGAGCTTTTGGTGCAGGTGTTTATCAGCTGAGCACTATCATTAGGAACAGTATTTTATCCTGGGCCAGCTGCTGGACTCAGCTCTTCTCATACATTGTCCTGCACTTTTCTCACATTCACCCCAAATTTGTAGAGGGCCAGGAACTTGTCTGTGGCCTTAGAACTAGTAGGGGGTGGGGCTAGGATTTATCTGACTTCTGGGATGACCATCCGGCCTGGTTTGCCCAGGACTTTGCCAGTTTGACATGTGTTCCTGTGCAGGTCAACCCAGAGCTGATTCCTGAGTCCCAGCAGGTTCCCAACTTGTGAAGCTTCCCTGGGTCCCTCCTAATCTGGGACACCTGTTCTAAAACCTGTCGCACCTCAGCAGTCGGTTTGGAATCCCTGATTTAATACTTCAGTATCTCAAACAAATCCTCGTGGCTTTTCGAGACCCATCGTGTAATTGCATGAAAACGCCAGGCCTTCTGTTGGGATTAATTTTTCATGGGCAATAATGCATCTGATTGAACTGGCTGCTTTACGAGGCCTGGTGGCACGGGGTCGGGGGCGCAGGGCTGTGTAGATGGTCTCTGGCTGGCCACGGGCACGGTTTCTCGGTTGGGCCAGACACTGTTCCCAGTTTGCACTTGGCGTGGCCTCTGAACTGGGCTGCAGCCTGGTGCACACCCCGCCTTGAGGGTCTCCCCCCAGTGGGGAGGAGGGCTGGACGGTCTGTGGGACGTTGCTCGTGTGCCCAGAGTAGTCCATTCCACACCCGGTCCTCGCTCCCGGGTTTGGGCAAGGACCCAGCCACACTGGTTTCCCCGTGTTGGATCAGCTCTCAATAGTCCCAACTTTCACTGCGGAGGTGCCGTTTCCCCTGCAGGGACACCCAGCCCTTGCCAAGCAGCTCCTTCAGTTACAGTCAGACAGATGCCGTTCTCCCCCTAGGGGCCTGCTCTCTTTCCATGGACGTGGGTCACCCGGTTTGGGGGCCCAGGATGTTCACTTTCGGGGCTGGAAAAAAAGCAGACTTCAGGGTGGAGCGAAGGTCCTTCTCGTGTTGTGAAACTGACTGTTTTTGGTTTTCCAGCTGAGCATTGAGCAGGCCCAGACGGTGGCCGAGCAGGTGGAGATGAAGGCAAAGGTGGTACAGTCGGAGGTCAAGGCTGTGACTGCAAGACACAAGAAGGCCCTGGAGGAGCGGGAGTGTGAGCTGCTGTGGAAGGTAACGGGGCTGCCCCACCCGGGGCCCCCCTTAGCCGCCGCACGTCTTTTGGGTACCACACACCCTGGACCCCAGCTCTGAGTTCAGAACACTTGGTGGTCTTCCCCCAAGTTTGTTGGCAGAGAGACGTAGGGGTCCGTGAACACTGCGGGTGCCCTCTGAACAGTAAAACAAACCAGAAGCCCTTCCAGAAGCAGTCGGGTCCCCGAGACTGGAAGGACGGAGTCTCAGGTTTGTCCTGCACACACTCAAGGGGGCAGAAAGGGGGGAGCAGGGTTGAGATTATTGTCAGGACAGCAGACTGCTGGACACACCCTTAGTTCGGTGTCCTGGCTGCTTGTGCTCCCTGACCCCTGTGGAAAACCAGCTTCCCCTCCTGGGGACGGGGAGCCTGGTGCCCTTCCTTCCTGCTAGAGCAGGGCTAGGCACTGAACAGGCTGGTGGGCTGTTTAGAGGAGATCAGCTGGAGAGATGAGTCGCCCCACCCACATCCCCATGTGTCATGGCCCCCTCTGACCTTCCGTCCCCACTCAGGCACAAGAGAGGGACGTGCCGAGCCTGGGCCAGTACCTTGCCAGTTCCACCGTGATCACGTTCTCCAAACACCCAAATAAGACTATAAGAAGCTGATTAGAAAGGGTGCGCTTGGGTGCGTGGTGCTTGTTTGGCTCATGTAATCGATGTGACGGGGGAGGTGGCACCTCACTTTTCTGGAAGTGACCCTGGCCAGGCGCTCTGCCCTGGCCTGCGTGGGAGTGCTGGCTGCATGGGCTGCTTCTGCAGTGCCTCTTCCTTTGAGTTAGTGCGTGCACAGCTGCCTTCCGACTCTCTGACCTCTCCAGGAATATGGCTCCTTTGCCCATTGACAGAAGAGACGAGTCCTTGGATGGAAACAGTCCAAGATTTAATTCACATAAGTTATTCAAGCACCTCTGTGAGCCTGATGTGGTTTTCAGACACGCCGATGTCCCCATGCTCTGCGGGTCTCATGCCACCCACGAATGTTAATTATAACTGGAACGGGCCCCCTTCTTGCAACCTGAGAGCTGTGTGGTGAACTCTGCCACAGACTTGCTCTTCTGGGTTTGCTGATGAAAAGGCCTTTGTGTGCAGGGGCTTCTGCAGGTCTCACCTTCATTCCCCTCCCTCCTGTGGGGCTGACTTGCAGCCTCTCTCTCAAGGCAGCTCTCTTTCAGGAGGAATAGGAAGCTCAAGGTGTTTTTGTTTGTTTGTTTTCTAATATCATAGGATTAGCAAATCCGGAAGAAGAGCCAGTCTCTTCTTTGTGTAATAAACTTCTTCCCTTGCCTGAAAACTCATTCGTGGATAACTCCGAAATAAGCTTGCTCATTGTGGACACACCTCAGTCCCGTCTGTCTCTGCTTTTCGCGGGGGTACCTCGCCCGTAGTCCTGTGGGAGTCCCCCTCTTCTCCTCCACTCATTCCTGATTTTTCTGCTCCTTCCCGCCTGTCTCTGCCTGGGCACCTCCTTGTTATAAAACGTTTTGTTTTCTTGCATTCCTGGTCATTGAAGATACCTGGGTGCCAGGTGACCAGTTTTAGGTATTGGGACAGACCTCTTCTTTCCTGTGGCTTATGCATTTCCGGTGGACATGGCTGCCTCTTGAGGAGGGGGTAGCTGTAAACACTAAGTTGAGAGATCAGAACCAAAGCCCAGAGGTTTGGCCCAGTGCAAGGCCAAAGGACAAAGCTTTACTTTGACCTGTCCCCACATGGGCCTCTCTGCACACACGTGTCCTTCCAGAGTGGACGGATGAATAAGCATGAATGGGGTCAAAAATCACATCATCCACCCCCAAAGGGAAAGTCTGATTAAAATCTAGCCTTCCCAACAGTGGACACTTTATTCTAATAGAGACTTTCTGTGGCTTTCAGATCACTCAAGCACTCAGAAGTCTTGGTCCTCTTTGCAAAACAGCACAGACCAGCTGGGCGACCTGTTTGTTCTCCTCATAAGGGAAATCACTTAGAGGGCTTTTAGTTATCTCATGCAAAAGAATGAAGAAATGGCAGTTTCATCAGTCAAATAAAAAACCTATATTCCCTAATAGTGTGGTTTGAGAGCCCCAGAGGCAGGTCCGAGTCCATTTATCTGTCTTAACAGCATTGTAGATTCAGAGGGCTCCTTCGGAAATAATGCAGGCTAATGGTTGTTGAAAAGTTGGTATCTCTGGCTCCCCGTTGAAGATTTCCAAAACCTGTGAGGAGAGAAAACAGTGAAGACAGGGGACGTGGAAGGGGTGGGGGGTTGTCATCTTGAATTAGATCCTTACCACATCCCTTTACTCTGCACCCACAGTCTTTCTCCCTCTCATTGTGTGTGTACATGTGTGAAGGAGGGAGGGAGATTTTTCAAGAGACTTCAGGCTCTCTGCCTGTAGGAGCATTGAAGACTCAGTCTGTTGGGAGTGCAGGATCAAACCCACTTGTCTCTGCCAACCCTGTCTCTACACCAGGCCTCTCATCACAGTGACTCACTCGCTATTTCTACTCTAATCGCCAGTACTCTCTGAAATTGTCCTGCAGCATTTCTTTGTTTGCTTGCTTAGTATCTGTCACTTTATAAGCTCAGTGGGGCTTAGTCTTTCTTTTCTTTCTTTCTCTCTTTCTTTTTCTTCTCTTCTTTCTTTCTTTCTTTCTTTCTTTCTTTCTTTCTTTCTTTCTTTCTTTCTTTCTTTCTTTCTTTCTTTCTTCTTCCTTCCTTCCTTCCTTCCTTCCTTCCTTCCTTCCTTCCTTCCTTCCTTCCTTCTCTTTCTTCTCTTTCTTCTCTTTCTTTCTCTTTCTTTCCTTTTAAGTGGAGTTTCTGGGGATTGAACCCAGGACCTTGTGCATGCTAATAAGCACGTGCTCTACCACTGAGCTGTACCCTCCCTCTGGACTTGTATGTTTTCTACTGGCCGTGTGTACCTCCAGCGCCTGGCACAGACTAGGTGCCCAGGAAACATTTGTTATATGGCTGTTTTTGATTTTTCTTTTTGTGTAATTTCTAGCTTACAGAGAAGTTGTAGGAATAACAAGAGGACTCCATGTATCCTTTACCCAGATTCACCAGTGATTTACATCCTGCTCTGTTTGCATCATTTTCTCTCTCTCTCTGTATGTTTGTGATTTGAGAGTAAGTTGGCTTGTTGGAGATGCTGTCCCTTTTACACTTAAATACTTCAGTTTATTTCCTCTGAGCAGGGATGTTCTCTGACATAATCCCAGTTGATCAGAAACAGGAAGTTGAATCTTGATACAACACTAATATGTAATCTTCAGTTCAGAGTCACATTTCGTCAACAGTGTTGGTAATAGCAGTCTCCCCAACCCAGGATCAGCCATTGTATTTCGTCACTGTCTCCTGTCATTGGGGACAGTCCTCAGCCTGCCTCTGCCTTTGAATTTGGCCATTTTTGGAGAGTGCAGACCCGTCGTTTCTGCAGACTCCCCCTCAGTATGAGGCTTCCTCGTCGCTGGGGTCAGCTGATGTGCCGCTTTCTGTCCTGACTCTAAGCTCCTGTGTCCTCTCTCCCGACTCTCACCTTTCCCTCCAGGTAGAGAAGATCCGCCAGGTGAAAGCCAAGTCTCTGTACCTGCAGGTGGAGAAGCTGCGGCAAAACCTCAGCAAGCTGGAGAGCACCATCAGCGCCGTCCAGCAGGTGCTGGAGGAGGGCCGGGCACTGGACATCCTGCTGGCGCGCGACCGCATGCTGGCCCAGGTGCAGGAGCTCAAGACCGTACGCAGCCTCCTGCAGCCCCAGGAGGACGACCGGGTCATGTTCACGCCCCCCGACCAGGCGCTGTACCTTGCCATCAAGTCCTTCGGCTTCGTCAGCAGCGGGGCTTTCGCGCCACTCACCAAGGCCACGGGTGACGGCCTCAAGCGCGCCCTCCAGGGAAAGGTGGCCTCCTTCACTGTCATCGGCTATGACCATGACGGGGAGCCTCGCCTCTCGGGCGGCGACCTCATGTCAGCCGTGGTCCTGGGCCCTGACGGCAACCTGTTTGGCGCCGAGGTGAGCGACCAGCAGAACGGGACATACGTGGTGAGCTACCGGCCCCAGCTGGAGGGTGAGCACCTGGTGTCGGTCACCCTGTGCAACCAGCACATCGAGAACAGCCCATTCAAGGTGCTGGTCAAGTCTGGCCGCAGCTACGTGGGCATCGGGCTCCCAGGCCTGAGCTTCGGCAGCGAGGGCGACGGGGACGGCCGGCTATGCCGGCCGTGGGGCGTGAGCGTGGACAAGGAGGGCTACATCGTGGTGGCCGACCGCAGCAACAACCGCATCCAGGTGTTCAAGCCCTGCGGCGCCTTCCACCACAAGTTCGGCTCGCTGGGCTCCCGGCCCGGGCAGTTCGACCGGCCGGCCGGGGTGGCCTGTGACGCCTCCCGCAGGATCGTGGTGGCAGACAAGGACAATCATCGCATCCAGGTCTTCACCTTCGAGGGCCAGTTCCTCCTCAAGTTTGGCGAGAAGGGGACCAAGAACGGGCAGTTCAACTACCCCTGGGACGTGGCGGTCAGTTCCGAGGGCAAGATCCTCGTCTCTGACACCCGGAACCACCGCATCCAGCTCTTCGGGCCCGACGGGGTCTTCCTGAATAAGTACGGCTTCGAGGGGGCTCTCTGGAAGCACTTTGACTCCCCGCGGGGCGTGGCCTTCAACCACGAGGGCCACCTGGTGGTCACCGACTTCAACAACCACCGGCTCCTGGTCATCCACCCCGACTGCCAGTCGGCCCGCTTCCTGGGCTCAGAGGGCACCGGCAGTGGGCAGTTCCTGCGCCCGCAGGGCGTGGCCGTGGACCAGGAGGGGCGCATCATCGTGGCCGACTCCAGGAACCACCGGGTACAGATGTTCGAGTCCAACGGCAGCTTCCTGTGCAAGTTCGGCAGCCAGGGCAGCGGCTTCGGGCAGATGGACCGCCCCTCTGGCATCGCCGTCACGCCGGACGGGATGATCGTGGTGGTGGACTTCGGCAACAATCGGATCCTGGTCTTCTGATCACATCTCCTAGGCGTCTGTGTTCGGGGTGTGCGGTGTCCGTCTCTCTCGCTCTCTCTTTCTGTCTTTATCTCTCCCCTCTTGAATTTCAAAGAAGAAACCGTCTCAGGGAAATTTCTTTTTTTCTTTTGTTGAAAGAGAACAAGAAAAGTACAACATTGCTTACGTCCTACCTCATCTTTATTTTTTTACAGATGAATGTACTTACCTTTTCTGCAGGGATTGAGCCTGTGAAGTGGTGATTTCTATCTACCTCAGAAACCTTTATGTCTCCTTCTCCAGCAGGCCCTCTGCCCTCCACCCGCCCCCCACTCAGCAGAGCCCACATCCCTTCTCCCTCCGCCGGGCGGGACGTGCACAAGACTGGCGTCTCTGTGGCTGGAAGGGCGCTGGATATGTGCGGTGGGGTGCATTCTGTAGATTGAGCCAAGGAAACACGAGAAAACTACTAAGAAAAAAAACCGAAAAACTATAAAACGGGGAAAAATAGGATTTAAGATGCTTAATTGTAGTGTATTTGTGTTCTTGAGAATACTGTGTTTATGGGGTTAGGTTGTGTTGTGTGATCTTGATCTTTTGGGGGATTTTTTTTTTAAAGCTGCAACAGAGAACTTTCCTGTGTTCTCATTTTATACCTCAGTGTGTTTATCAGCTTGTTCAGCATTAGCATCTTTTCTTATTCCTGGAAGGGGTGGCTGTGGCTTGCTAGCCAAGAAAAGCAGACTGTTCATATTTTAGGGTATGTAATCTTTGTTTCTTTTAAGGGAGGGGGTGTGTGTGTACGTGTGTTGAGGGGGCGTGAAGCCACCTTACACCAAAATAGTAAAACTGAAAATGATAAACCACCTCCCAAAGAACTTTTTCTCTTCACAACTTTGGTTTCTAAAAAAATAGATGTAGTTTAGGAATTTTGATTTAAAGTATTCTCAAAAAGTTAAGTGTTTTTAGTTTGCTGTTGGTTATAAAGAACTAGGAGGAAGAAGAAAATTAACCTCCTTCTCAGAAAGAGGGATTTCGGACACAGACTGGCATGTGGACGAGAGCGGGCGGGCGTGTGCTCAGTCCGTCAGCAGAGAGCAGGAGAAACAGGCAAGGTACCCCCAGACTGCGGAGGGCAGGCACGGTCTGGCCCTCCCCTCGGTTGAATGTTGTTCTGTTAATGCCAGGCATTTCTGTTCCTAAGAAGAGTAGGCAAAGGAATGCAGTTTTGTTTTATAAGCACAATTTTTCCCGCTTTGGAAGTTCAGGGAAGTAGGATGTTTGCAGATCAGGTTCATAGGAACAGCCCACCCCCACACCCTCTGCTCAGGTCACTTTTACAGAGCAGTCTGCTCCCCCCCGAGCCCTGATGGGGGTCTCGTGGTTAACGTGAATATCCCTCCTCACCCCCTCTAAGGCCTTTGAATGTAAAGGATTTGTAAACCAAATTGCCCCAACCTGAAACATAGGACATGATCTTTTCTCCAACCTCTGTCTCGGTACCAAAGAAAGAAAACGTAAGTCAGGTTCCCGCTGTAGAACTGTGGGCCGGCATCTGTCACTTTACAGGGTTGGTTCTTAGTGAGCTGGACTTGGGTGCAGAACCTTGTGCTTCTGGGCGTTAGCTGTCTTTCAAATACTGAAATAAGAGCCAAATTCCAGAGCAGCACGCCCCAGGAGGACAAGGCGCTCTCAGATGACAGTGGCTTTCCAGTGACACCTCTTGTTTAAATAAAAAGACTTAACAGATCAGTTTCTTCTCCTATATCGAAGAGATTACTCTTGTAACATGGATGTAGTTTCTACCGAACAGAATTCTGATAAGTGAAACAGTTGTTTTTGTCGTCCCCAAAGAAAAGGGGATGGTGTGGAAGAGTGTTTGCCAGCAAAGCACATTGCGTTTCCCAACACGCTCTTGTGGGCATTTCATTGGCCACTTCTTAGCCCCCATCTCTTCCCGTGGCTTTATTCTAGGGTTGCTGAGCGACACAAATGGGGAGAGCTCGTTTCATAAAGGCGAACTGCATGCAGGAGAGGATCCAAAATCCGGAAAGTAGCCTCGAACTGCTGCCTCCCAGCTGCTGTGTCCCAGGCTGGGGAGGCCTCTGCAGATCTTGCTTTTTGTAAAAGCGCCTCTTCTTTTTTGAAGTTAACAATCCATCTTTAATTCCTTCAGTTGCCTTTTGTGTTTCTCCAGAGTTCTTTGACTGGTCAAGAGCTCATGTAATTAAACACTTCTACCGTTTTTTCTTCTGGAATAACATGGTGCAGACCCTCCATCCCTCAACCTCCCTGCCCCCGCAACCAGTCACCCTTTAAACACCAAAGACAACTGGTTTTAAATGCTTGAAAGTTTTTCTTATTGAATCAGTGCATCTAGAACATTCTTTAAAGTGTTCTCAGAGTCACAAGTATGGCTGGGCTGAGTCATTTCAGGTAGTCACTGCCTTGGATTATTCTGTCTTCATTTTTCATCTCCACTCTGAACCTTCCTTCCCAGTGTCCCCATACGTGGGAAACAGTGGGACCTGAGTGGGAAATTTTCTTGGTGGGTAGCAGCAACTAAAACTACGTATTTGACATTTTTCTGTGGATTTGGTTGGTTGTCAAGCCAGCGTTTCCATGCATGGCTGAAATCATGAGGGCTTAAATTAATAGACAGTCCAATTTGTAGGCTTCAAGCTAGCAGGTGTCCCCCGCCCCTGAGCATGCAGGTGGGCGATGCCGCCTTGCCCTCCGCAGTGGTACCTCTCCTTACCTCTTTGCACCCAGCGTGGTGTATCACTGCCACTTGAGAAACAGGGTCACACTTGGGAAGCTTTTGTTTCTAAAACATTGCCATCTGTGGCTGCCGCCAATTGACTCCTGACCCCCAGGAATTGGTGCGAAGCACTTTGGAGTGTGTTTCCTGTATGATGTGGAATGCTCCAAATGAAAGAAAGATAAGAAAAGCCAACGTTTGGACCTCCCTAGTGTGAGGGAGGCTGTTTAGAATAAATGTATCTCATTGCGTTCCTTCTGCCCATTGTGAGGTGTTGCTAGGGGAGCAGGAATTGTGTGGAAGAGGGAGTCTTTAACGTGGTGAAAACACAAGGCCCTGGGTGCTGTGAGGGAGGAGGATAAAATGTTTCTATTGAGGAAATGGGATAGTTGGACAATTATCCGCATGTATGTCTGATCCAGCCAGGTGGTGGGGTGGGGTGTAAGCTCAGTTTCTGGTTTGAGATGCCAGTTGGATTTGGATAGATAGGTTTGGGCTTTGAGATGGCTAAAGGAAATTAACCCACAGATAAAAACCACTTTGGTTAACACTGACATTTCAAAAGTGCTACTGGTTTTTTTTGTTGTTGTTTTTGCTTTTTGTTTTTTTGTTTGTTTGTTTGTTTGTTTCCTTCCCATTATTCCTCTGTGAATTTGGTCATGAGAAGCAGTGTGGTCTCAGAACCTGTGCTGTGCGGTGGCTGCCAGGTGGCATGCGAGTTGTCTGGAGCCCAGTGGCCCGGACAGGACCCCAAGTGCACTGACTTGGACGGATGGATGGATAGGATACCCTTTTAAGTCTAACTTATTTGGGGAATCAGGGAACCACAGAGAAGGGTACCATAAACAGAATCTAAATTATGCACTGGGCCAAAAAACAAGTTGCCAGATTGAAGGCACTTTGTGATGGAGTTGTAAGGGTGGTGGGGGTTTGGCTCAGTCTATTTTTTCTAGTTAAGCCAAAGCTTAATGGTTTGACGGGGGGTGGGTGGGGGCTGGGGGGAGTGTTTTAGGCTTGAAGCAGCAGAATCCTATTGTGTGTGTGTTGTCTTCCTCTTTGGAAGATTCTAAGATGCTGTGTTCTGGTAGATAGCAAAAGAGATGCCAAAGTTACGGGCTTGTTTTTCTGTTTAAAAAGAAAAAATCCAGTGGTGCCAAAATGTATTTATTTACATCACTCTCATTGAGTTTCCAACAGTCTGGGGCTGTATAAAAATCTAAGTCTTGTACTCGCGTGTGATGGGATCGCAGAGACGGGCCCTCCAGAGGCCCCAGCTTTCTCCGGCTGCCTGCGGGCCAGGGCACAGGACACGCCCCCACCCCGTTTGCTTTTGTTTAGTTTCTACCTCACTTTTGGCCAGAAAGTCATCTACCTCATGTTAACATCTGATTGGTCTCTGAAGAGTGTTAATCCACCGGGGGATGGGTGGGAGTGGGGAGCTACCTCTGGAAGGAAATACTTATGTAAATCCAAAACTGACGTTTCCCGGGAGAAACGTTTGATTGACCTTGAGAAAGAAACTTTGAAACCAAACATTCCTATACTCAGGCAAGCGTAGTCATAAATCCAAGTCTTACCAATCTGGCCTTTCCACCCCCACCCACCCGGCTAGGAGTCACGCACACCATTACCACGTGGTTCAGTATTAGGAAACTACTGGTCCATCTGACCTACTTGAGGATTTAACTGCAAATGAAGACCTTTAGGTCTTTTTTTTTCCTCTTCAAGAGGAAAATATTTTATCTGTATTTTGAATGTCTGCTAATACACCCTTTTGGGAGCAATTCTAAGGGTCTCGGGAACATCACTTATTTGAAGGGAATGCGCGTCCTTTGGACCTCGTGATTGTATTTGTACCTTTTCTGGACCTAGCAGGATGTTCCTCATCATGACATTGGAACAGTCACTGCTTCACTCAGTGCGGACCATGCCCTGTGTGTTCTTTTGTTTTGAGGTTGGTTGGTGGGTTCTTTTATTTGCTTTTTTCCTCCCCCTACCAAAGGTAACATGTTCTTTGACGGGTTGTTCTTGTCCTTTGCTTGTTGAAGAAATACTTGATAAAGTTGAGAAGCACATTACCATGATATACTGTATGGCCTCTCCCACCTCCCTTCCCCTCCCAGCTCATTTTGGTTTTGGTTGGAAGAGAGGGTCCCAAGACCACTGTCAGTCTTGTGAATTTGGTTTCAAATGTCATGGTGAAGAAATACCTCAGTGATGCCTAATTTTAAAACTGATCTTACGGGTTAACAAGCCAGTCTGGTGGGATGTTTTCCATCATCATTTAACCAGTAATGGTTCTAAAAGTTTGTGTATCCACATGGTCGTAGACCTCCTTTTAATGATTGTATTAACTTACAAGCTCAGGTAGTATTTCTCTTAAGGCTCTATCTCAGAGCACACTGACTGAATGTTAATGTGTGTAGCAAAGTGTTTACTTTCTTTAAATAACCAGCTCTGGAATAGTTCTTTGTGTTTCTAGCATTCTGTGTAGTTGTCTTTTCAGAGGAAGATTTTTTCACATTTCTGGGGTGTTCTTAGGGCGGTAAAATTTCTTACTCCCCCCCCCTTTTCCCCTAAAGTCAATGCAGGTGACAGCGAGGGTGGGTGGGTAGGGGATGTTGTTTTTAACTAGCATGGTAGGTATACTCGGGTGGGTGGGAGGGTTGTTAGTTGGTTTTTTTTTTTTAAACGAATCTTGCTTAATACTGTCCATTAGCTGTCATGCCCGGTCAGCAAAATGCTTTAATTTTTAAGTGTAGAACACCTGGCTTCTGGTTGAGGGGTATTTTTTGTTTTTTTTGTGAGAAAAGTAAATGCAGAATTGGAGAAATTGACATGGGCATGTTGCCTGATGTTGGAATGACTAAGGTAAACTTTTCTTTTCTTTTAAAATTTTTTATTTGTCCAAGGCAGACACGATTTAAGGGATCTGCACCCCCGGAATAGCTGCCTGGGCCACAGAAACCAGGCTGCAAGCCCACCTGGGTGCTGACGGCCTCTTGACACTTTTAAAAATGGGCCTTGCAGCCACAGTGCAGATCCTGACAATTAAGTGGAGAATGGGGAAGCGAAGGTTTTCCCCCAAACCTTTAAGGTGGGTTTTTATTTGGGGTGGGGTTTTTTGTTTTGTTTTGTTTTGTTTTCTTTTCCTCTGGATTTTTACTTTTAAATTTTAAATGACGTACTGCAGGCCTCAGGCATGACAGGCAATGAGCAGGTGAAGAACCAATGGAAAAGTGTTCAAAAACTCCTGTGTTAGCTAACAGGCTTCTGAATGTATTGCTGTGGTCCACAGAGAAGGCTGGAGAAGGTAGCAAGGAGATGCCGTATCAGCTACTGCAGCCTTAAAACAAAGTTGGTGTCTCTTTGGACTTTAAAATTGTTCCTATGCAGCTTATTTTATTTTTGTTTAATCAAATAAACAAGAGGGTTTTTCCATGGAAAGAGTGTGTCCGTGTGATCCTTTAATCCAGAATGAACAAGGGTGTGCACTCAGCCCTACACAGGGAGCCTGCGGTGGATGGCTTGGAGGTTGCACTCTGTTTGGTGGGCCAGATGGGGTCCAAGCAGTGTTTTCAAAACAGGTGGATACCAGCATTTCAAACGAGGAAATGTTAAAAGAGCTTAAACGCTGTGAAAGCTGGACTTCAGGATTCTTGGAAATTTCAGACCTGGCAGCCCCAGGCCTATCCATCTTCCAAGGAGCTCACGGGCACCTGTTTCTCTAGAGGGCAAGTATATGATTTCCCAGTTACCAGGGCCCCCCACCCAGTTTCCCCAACAGATGCCACTGCTCTGGTGGGCATTGTCCTTAGGACCACTGCCTGGGGTGGGGGAGCTACTAGAGTGTGAGCTCCAGCCAGAGCGGGGTTGGGGTGGTCATGAGCAGCTTGCTCCAGTTCATCCTCTCTCCGGCAGGGTACCAGAGATGCCAGGTGGATGAAGAAGAACATTCTTTTGTACCTTGCATGTTCACAGCTCACTTGGACACTTCACTTCTCACTGAAACTAAATTTTCCCCAGCTTGGCTCACCTTTCTGTGTCTCATCAGCCTTAGGTTTGACCTCTGAATATCTGGTAAACTAGAGATGACCAGCACAGTGGATTCCACTTGTTCCCCTCCAGTTTCCTCCTGTTTGGTGTCCCTTCTCGGCTGCAATAAGTTTATAGACATTCTAGTGGTGGGAGGTCGTACCCCTGCTGCACAAGGACCTCTCTAAGGTTCCAATCATTAGTCCCCGGCCAGGGAACCTCTGCTCTCCACTTGCCTGTGTGGACATGGAGCATTTAAAGTGATTTTTTTGTTTTGTTTTTATTTTTATTGAAATATAGTCAGTTTACAATGTGTCGGTTTCTGGTGTGCAGCATAATGCTTCAGTCATACATGAACATACATATATTGTCGTATTCTTTTTCCCCGTAAGTTACTGCAAGATACTGACTATATTTCCCTGTGCTATACAGTGTAAACTTGTTTAAAGTGGTTTTTGCCCGTTGATTGCTTCAGCTTCAACACGGTGACACGCCCTGAGTAGCGGTTTCCTCGAAGACTCAGGACAGCGTATACAACTTTGCACACTGGACCCCAGTCCCCATCCCCCTTTTCAGGCCTGTCGCTTTTATTTCCCTTTTATCTCTAGCTGGACATAATGTTGAATGTAAAAATTTGGATGGATGCACTTCTTTTTCTTTTTAGGGGAAGGAATCTTCTCCTTAATCCTCCAAAGCCCCAGGAGAAGCTGCTAATAAAATGAGGCAGAACCCACTTTTGAGGGAGGTGCAGAGAAGGAAAACTCTAGAAAATCAATGCCTGATCTTCAGCCCTCTGATTCTTCCATCCCCTCCAGTAGAGTCAGGTGAGCTTCCAAGGACCCAAACCTTCAGAGGGTGACTACATCTGTCCTTGCAAGTTAACAGCCAGTCATTAAAAACACAGTAGATGGGGTCATTGGAACCCCCATATGTTGCTCTTGGTACAAATGCTTTTAGGCACAATCTGGCAGTTCTTCAAGGTGTTAAACAGGACCCAGCAATGCCGCTTCCAGGTACAGACCCACTAAAATTGAGGCCATGTCCACACAGAAACTAGAACATGAATGTTCAGAGTAACCTTCATAATAGCCCCAAAGTGGAAAAAACCCAAATCTCCCTCAACTGATGACTGGATAGACCAAAGGTGGTATATCCTCACACTGGAATATTATTAGGCCATAAAAAGGGAATGGGGTCCTGATGCATGTTACAACACGTGTGAACCTTGAAAAGGTAGTTGAAGGAAGCCAGGTGCCTTCATGACTTCATGTATTTGGAATGTCCGGAATGAGCAAATATGTGGAGATAGGAAGTGGCTGCCAGGGGCTGGGAGGCTGAGGCAAATTTGCAGTTAACCCTATTAGGTTTCCTTTCTTTGGTAAGAATTTTTAGAGCAGTTTTAGGTTTGTAGCAAAATCAGGAGGAAGATACCAGCAGGGTACAGCTCAGTGGTAGAGTGCATGCTTAGCATGCATGAGGTCCTGGGTTCGATCCCCAGTACCTCCATTAGAATGAGTGAATGAACAAGTAAATAAACCCCCTAAAGAACCCCCCCCAAACGAAAAAAGCTTTAAAAATTAGAAGATTACATAAAAGTTTATAACATTCATCACACCTGGCATGTAGTAGCTCCTCCCTGTTTATTGAATGAATGAAATTTGCCAGCCCCCTTCCCCTCCCACCAAGGAATATACTCTGTATTAGTTACCTGTTGCTTAGACAAATTATTCCCCCTTCCCCCTCCAAAAAAAGGGAAAATAAAGTTTCCCACATGCCCCCCCACCCTCCTGGGATTTCTTTTGGGGATGATGAAACTGTTCTAGAATTAGGCAATGGTGATGGCTTTAGTAGCGATGGGTGAATTTTGTGGTATATGAATAATCTAAATGTGAAAAGTGCAGAGAACAGATAAATCAATACATCTGACCATAGTAAAAAGTTTTTTAAATGAAAAGATCTGGTTGCTTTTTCAGGCCTTGTTATTGGCACGGGACCAGACTGACTGGCATTAGCAGGGTGAGTGAGCCCTTCCAGAGCTCTGGTCCCCACTCCCATCGCCACAGGCAGTATTCTGGAAGTCGGCATCACCAGCCAGGATCTTTGAGAGGCAGACACCGGGCTGCACAACCAGCCAACTCTGGAAATACTCATTGTCAAAGTAGGTACAGTTTTTTTTAATAACTTTAAAAATCTGTCCAATGAACAACATAAAAATATGAAAGCATGTGTCTCCATCTGGGAGAAGATATCTAACAAGGTATAACTAACAAGTAAATATCCAGAACATTTAAAGAACTACAAATCAATAGGGAAAATATTACCCAATTAAAAGACAACAAACAGATGAGAGGGTGTAGCTCAAGCGGTAGAATGCATGCTTAGCACGCATGAGATCCTGGGTTCAATCCCGGGTGCCTCCTCAAAAAGTAAATAAATACACCTAATTACCTCCCCCCACCCAAAAAAACAAAAAGATTTGGTTAAGTAATTCACAGAGCTCAACTGCACTAGAACTCAGAAATAACAAACAATAAGAAACCATTTCATATTTTTCATCAGTTTGATAACAATGTAAAAGTCTCAGTATAGCAAGTGTTGGTGAGAAATAGGAAGTCTTCCACAGCCGGTGGGACTTTGAAGGAATTCAGCCCCAAGCCAGGGAATTGGTCAGGAGCTAATAAACCTGAGGATAGGACTGTACACTCTGACCCAGTAGCGTCACCTCCGAGAATATGCCGAAGGCGAATTGTAGCACAAGACATTGGAAGAGTGCATTTGATACGTTTATTCAATGGAAGCTGAAATGAATGACCAGGAGCTAACTGTGGGTACATTTAAAAGTCAAAATGTTCAGGACAAGGAGCTGGTTCTGGGATGACTTTACAGAGTTTACCTTGTACGTCTGAAAAAGGCTCAAAACAATACTACCTATTTGTTACAGATGTATGTTTTGTTCAGGGAGCTTTACGTGGCTGGGTGGGTTATAGGTCAGATTTCTTGCTAGAAGGGGGAGTTGTAAAACTGAAAGCAACCAGTCCCTGTATGGTTACTAAACACGGAGGGTGACCGAGAAAATGAAGAGAAACTCAGAACTTCCCCTTTCCTCCGAAGGATCCTGATTTGCTCAGGAAGCATGACAATAGGAGACAAATATGAGAGAGCTTTGCATTTCTAGAAAGAACAGAACGGGGTATAAAGTGAGGGTGTACAGTCATTTCCATGAGACATAGCCAAGGGACTCCCCCACCTCACCTGCTACCTCTCCATTTTCCTCAGACACGTTGAAAGTTTTGTTTTCTCTACCTTCAACATAGATTCTTTCTCCCTAAGTGTGCAGTGCTAGACTTCATCCTGCTTAAAAATGAGTTTTATGTGTCGTAGGCAACAAGTGCTAGTTATTAAAATTTAGGAAGAATAGAACGGGGTATAAACTAGGGGTGTGTATTTCTTCCCTTGGATACCACACTGCCCCAAATAAATACAACAGCAACACAGGGTAAGACCCCGGAGTCCCCAGGGTCTGAAGCAGAGATGCTAGTGTCCCAGTGAGGGACGGTCT